AAAAAAAATCGCAAATCAAAAAAAAAACAAAACATTATTATTAGTCATCATCATCATCATAAATTTTTAATTTTCTTTTTTGTAAAAATTCTCATTAACATCATCAAAATCATAATTAATGTTCTGTTGGTTAACATCATCATCATATGAATTTTTAATTAAGGTAAAAAAACAAATTCTCATTAAGCAATGAGTAACCAAACAGAGGAACAAAAAAAAAATAATGACTTTTTTTCAAGCAACTATTTCCACTCAATGATGATGATCAGTATTGTGCGGAAATAGACAATTTGATTGTGAATTTTGGATGATTTTTTTGATGAATATTTTTTTCATTGACATTAATCGAAGCTGAAAATTTGTCAAACGAAACATTCATTCAATAGATTCGTTGAACGACAAACAACAAAAAGATTAGATAATGCAGCTTTAATGGGTTTTTTTTAGAGATAAACTTATTTTGCGATTTGGATCCGTCATCGCATTCAGAAAAAAAAACAGAAAAAAGGTCACGTGTGTGTGTCCATCATTGGTGTTAGATCGGTGTGTGTGTGTGTGTCCTGACAATCTCTTTTTTTGTTCTGAATTTTTTCGATGGAAAATTTGTTCGGGAGGCAATTGTTGTTTGAACGAGGTGATTTGTTTGCTGGTTGAATTTGTTTTGTTTTGGCTTATCTTGATCTTGAGCCGAATGGAGTGAAATGTTTGAAAAACATGGCCAAAAAAAAAAATTCAAATTTTGAAAATCTAATTATAACGTGTTAACGTGAACACTTTTTTTTTGTCTGATTCAAAATAGAAAAAAGATAAAAATCATTTTTGGTTCATACAAAAACGAAAATTCGTTTCGTTTTTCCTGATTTAAAATTTGAAATGAATTTGAAATGTAAATCCGATCAGTTTTTCTGTTGTTGTTTTTGACCAGCACCATCAGTTTCTCAATCAATGATCATCATCGATTCAAATGAATTCCCAAATCGTTATTTATTTATTTAGATTCTGTCGCTGGTGGTAATGTTAATCGATCACGAAAAAGGAAGAAAATGTTTCAATGATGATGATGGTCAGTTGGTTGATTGATTGATCGATCAAAAATGAATTCTTTATTTATTTTTAATAGACTTTTTAGTTTTGATTCAACCGATTTCATCATGATGATGATGATCGGGTTTTTGCACGCAAAAACTTTCGAAAGATTTTTGTGAAGCACATTGACATTTTCTCTGATTTTTGGTTTTGGGCGCGGGTATGTTTCTCTCTTTGGTTTTCGGTGCGTGTGCAAAAAAAAACAAAACAAAGTTGACTGACTCATTTTTGGTGTGATGATGATGATGATCATTTTTCTAATTAACTTTATTAAATGAATAAATGAAAAACAAGAGGGTGAAAAAAACACTGATTTACCACTTGCCAGTTAAATGAATTGAATTGAATGTTACTGGATCATGGTTGACTCATCACATGATACAGATTCGTGGGTCATTCATTCATTC